AATATTTATCTGAGGCATCAGTATTAATAATTAAATTATCTTTTTCATCTGGTAGTCTTAATTTTGGTAAATTTTTACATTCTTCTTTTAATGCTTTAACAATTTCAGTATGTTCTTTGTTCCATCCTTTAGTATTTGTTTTCCTAAGTAGAATTTGTATCTTATGTCTCTTTTTTTATAGATTTTCAATAAATCCTTCAGAATAATTTAAACATCCTAAAAATTTTTGTATTTGTTCTTTAGATTTTAATTCATCTGAAAAATTTTCTATCTTTTTAGATATATGAGTCTGTAATTTTATTCCTTTTCTATCTATTGATAATTCTAAAAAGTCTATTTCTTGTTTCTCTATTATAGATTTCTTTTTAGAAAGTACAATTCATTTATAAATTGTAATAAATGGTTCCTATGTTCTTTTTTATTATTAGAGCATATTAGTATATCATCAATATAAACAATAAGAAAATCACTAAACTTTTTAAATATATTATCCATTTTTCTTTGATATATTTGTGGTGCATTTTTTAAACCAAATGGCATAACTAACCATTCATATTTTCCTTGAGGTGTACTAAAAGCTGTATATTGTATACTATCTTCTTCCATTTTTATTTGCCAGAATCCTGATTTACAATCAAATTTGGAATAATATTGTTTTCCTTTTGCAAGGTTTATTAGGACTTCTTTATTTGGTAAAAAGTAACCATCAAATTTAGTAAATTTATTTAATTCTTTATAGTTTATTACCATTCTAGCTTTTCCTCTAACCTGCTCAGAATGTTTCATAACCATAAAAGCTGGACTACTATGAGGTCCATTACTGGGTCTAATTAGCTTTTGTTCTAATAGTTCTTTTATCTGAGTCTTAAATTCTTGCATATCTTGTAAGGTATACATCATTGGTCTAACTCTTATTATAACATTTTCTGTTAATTCTATCTTAGCTTTAGGATGGTATGGTTTCCAAAATAATAATGGGTTTTCTCCATAAATTCTTTCTAATTATTCTATGATTTTTTCCATATTTATCTCTATTTCTGTTTTTAGGATCTTTTTATATGATAGTTTTTTATTTTTTAATTCATCTTGTACTATTGGTCTTTTTTCCCATATATCACCACGCTGGGCTGGCTGAACTCTGTAGGGTCTAAATTCTCTTGGTATTTTTAATAGATGTGCACAAGGTGTTTGTAACATTATCATATAATTATTTTGTTTATAATATTGAAATTGTTGGATAAAGTCATTTCCTAATAAGATATCACATTCTAGTTTATTATAATTGTATACTTTATTTATTATAACTTGTTTACTACCAAGTATTATATTAACCTTTTCAGCACTATCAATTATTTGAGTACTTTCTCCAGTTACTCCTGTTATTTTTATTTTACTATTTTTATTCCATGAT